ATTTATGTCTATGTAGTGAAGAGATATACTTATGGTTCAGGAATTCCTACAGTTTTACACTGCCATCTATTAAGTGCTAATTAATTTTTTTAATTTTAATTTTCTTTTAGAAATTGAATGAACATTCATCCTATTCTTGAAACGTTGATTCTGACTACAGCTGTCCATTCCCCCATTCTTATTTCCTTACATCTACTTTTTAAAGAGAGACAGATATCTAGAATCATGTTTTACATGGTAGTATTTATATGTACTTTTTTGTAATTACTTAAACCTTTAAAATGAGAATGATGCCATTTCCATAAAAACAGAAAACAATCTCTTTTTTAAAAAAACAACAGCATTAATCAAGTACTTGTACTTGGTTAGCCACACATTGTGCTAACTGCTTTATAGAGATTATCTCATTTAAATTAAATTATATTTGACTTTTTCACAGTAAAACCACTTTTGTTCTTTTTTAAATTAAATGTTAATTTCACAAGGTATCCATTTGTATGTGTCAGGAGTTTTAGTTGCAAAAACAGAATCGGTTCTGACTAGTTTAAGAAGAGAATCTACCAGAGGATATTAGGTTAACTCACAAAACTGTGGGAGGGCTAGAGAAATAGGCTAATTGCTAAGCTTCCGGGAATAATATCCAGACTCATTCTCGAGACTCGCCTCATCAGGGAAGAGCTTCTGCTAAAACTGGGCGGCTCTGCTGCTACCTTATTAGCAATATGGATGCCCCTCTTGAAGCCTGTGTTTTTAGGCTACTCACATTCAAATCAAAGTCTGGTTGCAGATATGGATGACTGGCTCGCTGGTTGCTCAAGGGGCTGGAAAGTTGATTCTTCCTGGGCAAGTGGGATATCCAAAATGTGAAAAACTAACAGAATACCGAGAGGGTACTGTAAAGATGTTAGCCACCTGTCCCAGTTGACTGTCACACTAAATAACAGCAGCAAAAACAGTATCATGCTTTCCTATTCAACATGTGGTCCATGCACCAGCAGCATTGAGTACCATCTAGAAAATGATAAATGCAAAATCTTGGACCCCACCCCAGATTGACTGAGACAGAATCTGCATTTTAATAAAATCCCTCAGGTAATTCTAACATGCAGTGAAGTTTGAGAACGGCTGCCAGTGTAAGAAAATGTAAGACGTTTTCATGAAAATGCACTCACCTCCCCCAACGGGGAAACCCAGAGTCTCATCAGTGCCTGCATCCAGCTCCAAGTCCAAGATCTCTGGGTGATGTTCTCCTCTAGTTCAGTCATAATCTTGCCCTGACAGTTCACAGCTACACACTTAATGAAGTAAACCGTCACCAACACCCTATATAGAATAATAAGGAAATAAGGGAGAAGGGTGAATGAAAAAATAAAATTAGTTAATATATAAACATATTATATATAAATATATTATAAACTTTGTAGTAATTATATGTTATGGTATATAAAAACATATAGAAAAATATATTAAGTGTGTGTGTGTATATATATATAGAATATATATATAGAATATATATACAATATATATATAGAATATATAGAGAATATATATAGAATATATATAGAATATAGAATATATTCTATAGAATATATATAGAATATATAAAATACATATAGAGATAATAACATAATTATATACACAGCCAAGTTCACTTGCCCTCAGCCAGCACCTGGGCTGGTACAAGTTCATTACAAGTGGGGTACCCCCCAATGTTGTTCCTGAGAGATCTAAGCAATTAGTGGTTTTACCTGTGTGAGGCTGCTCCAGTATTCCATTAAATTTATGCCACTAGAGGCAATACTAAGAGGTGTCCAAAAGATTCTTTAGGTTCTAAAAATATTTTTCCCCATGACTGCACAGCAATAGTCCTCTTGCCCTTGACATTCAGAATCAATCATCCCAATCTACTTCTTGCCTGTTTTCTCCAATCATAAGGAGCCTCCAATTACCACATCATCAATTCAGCTTCCAATTCAGTAGGACCATTGTGTCTTCTCATGGTAGCATTTCTCCCTTGACCTCAAACCCAGCAAAACTCAAGGGGGTTGGGAAGGAAGCAACATTTTTCTCAAGTGTAACAGTAAGTATAATAGTGAGAGGTTCCACTCCAACCCTTTGCTTTTTAGACCATCCGTTCTGGCTATGAGAGACACCACTTCTTGGCCACTGGTTCAGAGCATGTGCCACACTCTTTAGGACAAGCTGCAGCCACAAATGAATCTTCAATAAGCTATTCTACATTCTGTAAATAGGAGACCAGTAAATCCTTTAAATGTAATCATTGCCTTATTTCTTTTGTGATAAATTGAATTCCTTAATCGAACGTAGTATTTTTTAAGATAGCATGCAGTGAATAAGGCATTCAGGAAGTCCACTGGTGATGTAACTGGCAGAAGTATATAGAGAAAGAAAGGGAAATCTGTCTTTAGAAGTGTCTACTCCTGTGGGGATAAATCATCTCTTTCACGATGTAATCAACCTCCCATCAGGTGCTGACTAGTACACCCAGGGAGAGTTTTCTCTATGAAATACTTAGGGTTAGGGACACCTGGGTAGATCAGTCAATTAAGTGTCTGACTCTTGATTTTGGCTCAGATCATGACCTCACCGTTCATGAGTTCAAGCCCTGCACTGGGCTCTGTGCTGGTAGCACAGAGCCTGCTTGGGATTTTCTCTCTCCCTTTCTCTCTGCCCCACCCCTGCTTGTACTCTCTCACTTGCTCTCTTTCAAAACAAATAAATAAACATTTGAAATACTTGGAATTAGTAACCTCCACTGGCAAACTCAAATGTTGCCAGGTCAGTTTGATGAGAAGTACACGTTGTTGAATCTACCTATAACTTCTGTCCTGCCTCCATGGTAATTTAATTTATGAAGCCACCGAGCAAGCACTGTGATGACTGGAGAAAGCCTGACACTCACAGAGTTGGTCACTTTGTTTGCCTAATTACGAAGCACATCCTCAACTGTAGGACTCTCTTGGTTAGGACTCTCATGGGGTACAAATAACCCTCACTACTCTAGGGCCATTCTCAAAGACTGAGAAAGCAAGCTTTTTAGAACTTTGGGTAGATGAGATAAAAGACGGGTGTTTAAAAGATACCTAGAGCCACAAGTGACAGTTGAGCACTACAATGTATATTAAAACACTATAAGCACCAAGAGCAAAAGCTAATGTAAACCATGAACTTTAGGTGATAATGATGTGTTGATACAGGTTATCAATGGTAACAAATGTACCACTCTGGTGAGAAATAGTAAAATGGGGAGGCTAAGCCATGTGTGGGGATAAAGGGTATGTGGGAAATCTCTCTACCTTCTCTCAATCTTGCTGTGAACCTAAAACTGCTCTAAAAATACGAGTCTTTCTTAAAAAAAAAAAATAAAAAAAAAAAGTCAAAGACAAGGTCCAGTCTCCTTTGACCACTGTCCCACCAATTCCAGTTTCCTCCCTAGAAGGAAACATTGCTGTCACTTTGGTGTACATTCTTTCACACCTTCTGCACAATTATATAATTATACATGTACCCCTTGAAAATATATGTATTATACAGTTTAAGTGTGGAATCGCTGGATGTATAGTATTAGGCAACTCGGTTCTTTTTTCTCTCTCTGCAATCTAAAGACTGTAAACACAGATCGATCTAATTCATTTTAATTTCTCATTGTGTCTACAATACAGATGCATCAGAGATTATTTAGCCATTTTCATATTGTTTCCCTTTTTTTGACATTAACTATATGTAACAAATATCCTTCTTGTACAGTTGTACAGGCCTCCTTGAGCTCATGCACAAATGTTTCTCTAGGGAAAATCCTAAGTGAAAGTTATGAGTCACAATATATGAGTATTTTTAATTTTATTTTTTTAACTTTTTTTTATTTATTTTTTTATTTTTGAGACAGAGAGAGACAGAGCATGAATGGGGGAGGGGCAGACAGAGAGGGAGACACAGAATCGGAAGCAGGCTCCAGGCTCTGAGCCATCAGCCCAGAGCCCGACACAGGGCTCGAACTCACGGACCGCGAGATCCTGACCTGAGCTGAAGTCAGACGCTTAACCGACTGAGCCATCCAGGCGCCCTGAATATTTTTAATTTTAGAGATATGGCCCAAATGCTTTATATTTTCATGGTAGTGTGTAAAAGTATCTATTTACCCACACTCCTGGCCAACTGTGTTATATTATCAAACTACATAATTTTTGCCCATCTAGTAAGTATAAAGATTATCTGGTTATCAAAATTCATCTCTGGTTGAGTACTTATGTTCATGTTTTCTTATGTATTGTCATTTACATTCCCTTTTCTGTTCTTACTCTTTGCCCATTTGTACTGTCTTTTAGCTATAGGTTCTTACTAATTATATTCTAGATAGTAATCCTTTATATATCTTTATTGCAAAAATTTCTTCCAACCTTTGTTTTATTTGAGTTTTTGTGTTTTTTTTTTTTTTAAAGTAAGCTTCATGCCCAGCATAGAGCCCAATGTCGGGCTTGAACTCACAACCCTGAGAGCAAGACCTGAGCTGAAATCAAGAGTCAGACCCTTAACCAACTGAGCCACCCAGGCACCCCTATTTCAGTTTTATTCCATCCCGTATTCAAAGGTTTTCTTCTCATGTCATAAAATTTCCTTTTGGATTTTGAATTTAAAAGAAAAATCTCATTTAAAATGTTTTCCCCACCACAAAGAAAAAAATACATTCTTACATATTTTATTTTAATATTTGTATGTTTTCCCCCAAATATTTAGATTTTTAATCCATCTGAAATTATCTTTATGCATAATATGAAATGAAAATTTACTTTTTTCCAAATGGCTAGTGATTTTTCCTGCATTGTTTACTGAAAAGTAAATCCTTTGCCACTGACTTACAATGTCACCTTTTCATATACTGAATTTCCATAAATACATGGTTGTTAGTTTATTCATCTTTTTACTATCTGATAATCACTGTATTAATTTAAAAAGATGTTCTATTTAATCTTTCTTTTCAGAAAACTTCCTATTGAACAATTCTATTATTTGACACAGAACAAAAAAAGTGACATCTATGGAAATGATTCTTTGTAAGTTTGGGGTTTCTTTTCCTCATAATGGACCAAATAGCTTTTTTAAGTGAAAATATGTTATATGAGAAATAAAAAAGCTCCCAAATGGGAACTTTTAGAAAAAGAAAAGTGTTCTTTTATTTTTCCAACAGAGATCATTAATAATAGAAACAAAGACCAAAGAAATAAAAATTTAAAAAATAAACCAAAACCCACTTATAGTTTGTAGCAATTAAACAAAGAAAAAATACGAAATATGGAATAGTAATTTTCAAAAGAATTCAAACAAGTCATCTGGGTCCATTTCTCTGCCTTTGACCTAGTTAATCTAATAAGAATCTGTTAAATTTCTTAAAAGTTTCATAGGAAATGGCCCAGCACCCTCAGCAAAATTTTTCATCAGGATATTATGAGAGGAGAGGATTATCATGACAATTTACAAATAATTTGTAATAAAGTTAGTCCCTAAGTCTCCTTTTTGGATAAGGAATATTTTTTAATTTATCCTTTGCTTACAGGAATTACTTTCCAGCATATTAAATTATCTTTCCTCTCTGCAATAGTCCGTTATATATATTTAAAGAGCATACTTCTTAATTTTCAGATAAAAATAAAATACTGACAACACTGAAGCAACAAGGAAAATATCACTTCTTTACCTTTATTAGAATTGTGAGGAATTTGTGTAGATAAGAAGTTAATATAGAGTTCAGCCACAAGAGGGAGCCAAAAAGACGTGAAATCTGTGGTGCCTACTAGGTCCTATTCATTTATCCCTTTGAGATCAGTACACTTTGAAAAGTAAATGTAGAGTGCAGCAGTAAAATAATGGACTGGTTTAGGTCAAGGGCCTGGGTCTCTGAGCATTTTTAATTTTCATTTTATCCTTTCAAACTTGAACTTTTTAAAAAGTTTTCCTTTTTAAAAATGTTTTCAATTTTGAATCCAACTGATTTTAGATATACACTTGTCAATATCATAGCTAAATTTGTCACATGAGAAAAATTTTAGATGCTGATTTAACATTTCATATATTGTAGTCAATCTAGTAACTTGGAATTCCTTGGATTGTTAATATTCATTGCCCCCGCCTTCCCCAAATCAACCATAAATATAACTGGAAGACATGTTTTTTGGTTTTGTTTTTTAGTCCCAAGCCTGCAAACTTGGAGTCCAAATAAAGAAAGACATAAACCTGTTAAGATTCATCTGAATTACGTGTTGATAATACACTGTGGAATCAAAACGTAATATAGCTTACGTACCACTTTCTAAAGAAACATACAAAACTTAACCAGCACACTTCATTTTGTTGACCTCTGCTATCAACAGATAACATTCTATTCACTTTTTTATGCCTGAAATATTTCAGAAATATCTGCATAGGCTGAAACTAACTGTTGAATCCAATAGAAGTAGGTGACAGGCCTGTAGTGTGGACTTTGTTCCTGGGCTTCAGTATTATTTCTTGGCAGGCAGGGCTCAGGGTAAATAGTAAAGACGTAACTTTCAAATGAACTGATTCAGAAAAGACATGCCTCCAGAAACGTGTTCAGGTTTGTTCCAGCCTTTCTGTCAACGGGGCAACATTTATGATCGTGATAGATCAGCAATCCTGGGCAAAGGGACAAAGCACACACAGTACTTCTATATCTTGTCCCACCAGGCCACACTGAGGTCACTTGAGGTCATGTAATTGCACCATATGCATGGTGGCAGGCTGCCTGCAGCACTTTGGCTACTGCCTGATTATGAGGGTGAATGTCAAAATCAGAGCCGCATTATCATTGGAAGCAGTCAGTCCTGCACCTGCACTGCAAATAGGAAATGCAAAATGGGTGGTGAGTGGGACTGAAGTTAGATTGATCAACAGAACTGAGATATGAGGATATCATCCCTCTGACTGGTATTCAGTGTTCCAGAAAGTCAATCGAGAATGTTATCTTAAAGACACTGTAGTTTGAAAATGGGATACATCTTTATTTTTAAGCAAATTTCTAATAGGAATGTAAGCTTTAAAAAGTCCTTAATATAAATTAGGATTTGTTTCCTGTTTTTACTCTAGGATGCCCAAACCACCTAATGCAACAGTACAGTAAGTATATACTTAACATTTTCCTTCCATGTTATAGTCAAGTAAAAAATATTGGCAATCCATGTCTCAGTGTGAGTACAAATGTGACTTTTCATGAAAAACTTTAACAACTGGGAGAAGAGGATGGTATTATATACTCTGCTAATCCTTTCTTAATAAACTTTTTAATTTAGTACAGTTTAAATTTGCAGAATTATTTGAAAAACAGTACAGAGTTCCTATATACCTCATACCCAGTTTCCCTTATTAGCAATATCTTACATGTAGGGTGTATTTGTTACAAATTCATGAGCCAAAATTGATGTATTGTTATTAACGAAAACCCATACTTTATTCAGATTTTTAACAAAAATAGCCTTTGTACCATATATATAAAATATTGAACGAAATCTCATACATAGATTCAAGACAGAGTCCATAGCTTTTGAGTTTTAGAGTAAAATATGTTTTGCTAAATCATTACCAGATATAACTTAATATTATTAACTAGGAAATCGTTTCTAGAATCTGAGGGGGAAGAAAATTCTTCCTCAATCCCAAATGATCAGAATTAAGTGGGCCTCTCCCTGCCTTTGTAACTTCCACCTTTTACCCCTTCTTCTCAAAGCAAAACCCTGGCCACAGACAAAACCAGAAAGACCCAATAACTATGTATACACATTTTGCAAATTTACTTCCTATTAGGGGGACCAATCCCCAGGGAAAAAAATGTCTTACAAAATTCTTTTGGTTCTGTTTTTGTAATTTAACGTGATCTTGGCCTTTGGAATTTGTATTCTAAATTAAGAAGTCAATCTCTACTTTCTGGTCATGTCTTTGTGATGAACAAGATACAAGATACAATGAAAACCAAATGCCTTTGTTGGGCAGTCCTAGCCAACATCAGATTAGTACCAAATGGGGCCACCCTGCCCTGGCCTCTGGGTGCATGCTAGCATTTAGCCTGTTGAATGATTCTCTGATAAAGAGGAGAGATAAAGCAGTTAGCATAAAGCCAGGAACATAATTGCTTTATTGTTGTAGTTATTGTTGTGGTTAACAACATCTCAAGGCAATGTCCCCTGAGTCTAATTCCTGCTCCTGTAGTAGTTACAATGTCTCAGGACCTCCCACATTAACCACTGAGATATTTTCTAGGGACAGTGGACAGACATGACCATTTTATGAAATATTCATACCACATTTCCTTAAACTACATCATCAAGTCTAGGGGAAATGGCATTGAAAGTTCAAAAATTAATCCCACTGATTCGCCATTCCCACCAATTCTTACATCTTATCTCAATCTGACACATACTGGGAAAAATCCAAGAAAATCAAAATTAATCTTATTCCCAGGTAAGTTAATTAGCATAGACTGAGACAATCATTATACTGTATTTACTCAGCCATTCTTTCTAGTATGATTTGTGACTAAATGTCTCTGTTGGACAATATTTGAACCCTGGACTTTCTCATCTCATTCTTTACTGTCCCCAGGGTCTCTATATTTCTTACCTAGGTCCCCTGCTTTCTGACTACTACACCTGAAAGTGAATGAAGCAAACACTCAAGACTCTGAATGTACAAGAACTTCTCTTATAACATGGGCTTTTTACTAGACCTCAGTAAACTCCGTCCTTTCCTAACTTAAGTAGACTGGACATTCTCCCCATGAGGAAAAATGTGTTCATTCCTATTTTATTCACAGTTTGCTCAAACTATAAATGATCGTTTATTTTCAAGCAAATTTATAAGGGGAAGTTAATTTGAGGGAGATGGTTAACTATAATATCCACTGAATTAGACAATGGAAATGTTTATTTAGAATAAGTGGAAATCACTGTGTTGTATATAAAAGGAAGTATACCCAATATTGCTTCAATGAAAGCAGTTACTAGGCTAGTGTTTTTATGACTCTGAGGTACATCAGTGAGTTGGAATTCAGGAATGAATGTCTTGATTCTGTGTACTAATATCATCACGGAGTTGATGACCTCGTGCCTTGTACCAAGCCATGTAGCCATTGATGTGGTGCTTTTTAAGCAAAATAAATACATCAGAAAAGTTTACTGATTCACAATAAAATGATGCCATACCCAATGCAAAAATGTGTTCAACTGACAGAGTTTGTGACAAGGGCAAGAAAACCAAATCTTTCCACAAAAACAGAACGAGCTGGCCTTCATAAATGACTTTTGCTTGAAGTCTAGACACTTTCTCTTACAAATCAGCCTTAACTTCTTGCGGTATCTATGAGCAGATCAGGAACTTGTTAAGAATCTTGGACTGCTAGGTATTTCAGAGAGCCCGTCATGATGACAAGGCTGCTGAATTCAGTACAGATTTGCATTAGCGGGCCGAGTAAGCAGTAAGGGGCCGGGATCTGGGCCTGGGCCACCGCTGATGGCCAGCTATCAGCTCTCACAAATCTCTGCTAGTTCTTTCAAGAACTCTGCTAGTTTTTCAAATCATAGTAAAATTGTATCCCTGTGGTCTTTTTAACTTGTTGGCTTTTATTTTTCCCATCAGTTTATCAGCTATTTTTGGCTTTTTGATTTCTAAACAGTACTGTGTACATAAACAGGCAGTATATTTTGTTGATTGACTGCTTAAAAGAAACAGATGGCCTAGGTTGAAAGTTCAAGGCAAGATGGTCAGATATGACTTTGCATACTGAAGCTGAATGCCCAGAAATGATTCCATAAAATAAAGCACTGGGATCCTGTTAAAACAAGAGGCAGGAATTGAAAGCAACTAGAAAAACTACAGATTTCATGTATCTTCTGCATTAGTTGTGAAAATTATTCACAGATAAAGAATTCAGTTATGATTTATTTTAAAAAGTAACTTTTATTTGTCTAGCAAAATTAGGAAAATATGTTTCGTGGCACATATTCCACCAGAAAGCTAACTCCAGGAGTACAGGGGCCTTGGCTCACTGTCGTATCCTCAGAAATAGAACAGTACCAGTCACAAAGAAGGATCCCAATAAATATTTGATGATTAATTTTTTTCAATTGCATTTCTTTCTATTCTGTTTTGTTTGCTCAACTAAATCTCAGAGAAACCTGCTTCCCATATCCGATTGAACACCCCTACCACACACACATCTCACGTGGTGCCATGTTCCCGACCTTTACATCACCTAAGGATCCTTACACTGGGATTAAAGCCCGAAGCCAACGGCCGTTTCCTCCCACTGTGCCAACGAAGGCTTACGATACGACGATTTTGAAAACAAGAGGTAAAATGTGATTTGGTATCAGAACAGTATTAATTCTTCTCATATTTGAATTTTATTCAATTAATAAAATCAAAGAAAGGAGGGCAAAGGACTCAAGACACAAAAGTGTAACCCATCAGATTAGGAAAGTTGTTCCTAACTGTGGCTGTGCTTTAGAATCACCGGGAACCCTACCACAAACCAAGTAAATCAGATTTTCCACAAGTGCTCTTAACTTTTCTTCTTTATACAGCCTTCCATGCTAGAAGCAGAAACCAAACATTGTAGAATTAGTTGTTTTTATTCTACCTGTTTTTTTCTATTTTTATTTCCTTCCTGCTTTCTCTTATGGCTTAGCTTTTAAAAATTTTATCCTAGCTCAGGTAATTAGCACAAGGGACAATATTTGGTTCAGAGCATCAGGGTCTAGACATAGGTATAGCAGTTGTGATGAAACTGAGAGAATGTCATTGAAACAAGACTCAGAAAGTAACAGGAACAATTTGTTTAGGTCCTCTTAACACCTTGGGGTATCTTCTTGCAGAAGCAAACCCTGGGGTCTTTCCAGATGTGGAAACTCTAAATGATACACATCAACTCTAAATGATACACATACATACATATATACATGTAAATACATGGGAGGTTGGGGTGGGAAGAGCTGTGCAAAAGAACTACAAGATAGGATGCCAAGCAACTGAAATTTGTATGATCTTATTAGGCAAAGTGTTAAAGTTAATTTATTTTTTTCAATCCCTGAATTATATAATTTCTAAAATTACATGAAGGGCATAGAGTTAACAAGAAATCAGAGAAATGTGTGCAAAATTTATAAAAACACTTTTCAGCGCAGTTGTAGGTCACAGACTAAAGCAAGTTACCACCACCATTACCCACTCTTCCAAGCATCCACCTGTTCTGACCAGTTAGTCACTCTTAGAGGACCTTAAAAAGATGAGTATATTGGGGCGCCTGGGTGGCTCAGTCAGTTAAGCCTCCAACATCAACTTAGGTTATGATCTTGCAGTTGGTGAGTTCAAGTCCTGTGTTGGGCTCTGTGCTGACAGCTCAGAGCCTGGAAGCCTGTTTCAGATTCTGTGTCTCGCTCTCTCTCTGCCCCTCCCCCGCTCATGCTCTGTCTCTCTCTCTCTCTCTCTCAAAAATGAATAAACGTTAAAAAAATTTTTTTTTAAATAATAATTACAAGGCAGGCTAGCAAGTTGTGAAAAATATCTAGGACCAAAAATGCAAAATTTGTTCTGATATGTAAATATTTTATAGAAATCCGCAAGAAAACACTAACATGTTTATCAAACAATAAGCAAAAGACAAGGGATGACAATTTAATTACAAAAGACCGAAAGAAATGTTTTTAAAAAAGAAGCAAGTTCAGGGGTGCCTGGGTGGCTCAGTCGGTTAAGCGTACGACTTCAGTTTAGGTCAGGACCTCACAGTCTGTGACTTTGAACCCCATGTCGGGCTCTGTGCTGACAGCTCAGAGCCTGGAGCCTGTTTCAGATTCTGTGTCTCCCTCTCTCTCTGCCCTTCTCCCACTCACACCGTCTCTCCCTCTCTCCCAAAACTAAACATTAATTTTTTTTTTTTAAAGATGAGTATATTGTAATAACCCTTCTAAAAGACCTTTCTAGGGGCGCCTGGTAAAAGACCTTTCTAGGGGCGCCTGGGTGGCTCAGTTGGTTAAGCATCTGACGTCAGCTCAGGTCATAATCTCACGGCTTGTGGGTTCAAGTCCCACATCGGACTCTATGCTGACAGCTCAGGGCCTGGAGCCTGCTTCTTATTCTGTATCTCCTTCTCTCTCTGCGCACCCCCCCCCCCCATGCTCTTTCTCTCTTGTTCTCTCTCTCTCTCAAAAATAAATAAACATTAAAAAAATTTTTTTAAAAGACCTTTCCAAAAACTACTATACCACCACATTAGGTTTTCTACACTTATTTGAACTTTTCTTTAATAGAAAGACATAGAAGAGTGCCTTAGTACCAGATTGCCTGAGTTTGAATTATTCCGCTTACTAGCTGTGTGATCTTAGGCAAATTGCTTATTTTTGTTGTGCCTCAGTTTCCTCATCTGTTAAAGTGGAAGTAATTGTACCTTATTCATAGCAATGTGAGTGTATATATAAAACACTTAGTACAGTACTAGCACACAGTAAATGTTCAATATATGCCAGCCTTTGTTCTTATTACATATGAGGATGGATGTTCAGAACATTCTTTTTTTTTTTTTTTTAAGTTTATTTACTTTGAGACAGAGAGAGAAAGAAAGAGACAGAGAGAGAAAGAGAGACAGAGACAGAGAGTGAGCTGGGGAGGGGCACAGCAAGAGAGACAGAATCCCAAGCAGCCTCCACACTGCCAGCGTGGAACTCACAAACCTGACCCACAATCTATAGTCAGACACTTAACCGACTGAGCCACCCAGGCGCCCCAGAGCATTCTTTAATGTGGAACTTCTTACAGGACCAGAGGAGACCATGCTATATCTGATAAAGCTTATCAAACCACCACTAATACCTAAGAAGCCACATTCTTTAAAATGTTCTCTTTCAGTACCTTTTTGGTAAGCAAATACTAATTCTATTTCTTGATATTTAGGCAGGGAAAGCCCAAAACAAGTAGTACAGAAATGTATTTACTAAGCCTTCAGAGACCAAAAGAGGACGTAGGAAAACTTAAACTTAAAAGTTATAACTTACCTAAGAATCCCTTTCGTTAACAAGAAAAGTACATTTCCATTGCCCCCTCATATTGCTGGCAACACTCGGGTTAGAGACTCATTCTTGCTCTGTGTGGCCCACATGCTGCTCATTAAGGGGAGCAAGAATTCAAGCAATGCTCTAATACACTAGCTAAAATATGCACCCTCATTCCTCTCTATCTCCTATCATCTTGTTTCTGTTTATTGCACCCCAAAATCCCATTCATAGAAAACTGTTATTGCTTATTCAGAATAACAGCACTCTTCCTGAAAATTTCAGGTAACCCTTACAGATATGAACTGCTTGATTTTCCAATGGATTCAAAGAAGAAAGCCTTGAATTGGCCAGGTCAGGGTGTATATTATGATGTAAGTATCTTTTAAATATGTGTTTAAAACAAAGTAAAAATGTTTTTACTCTATACATTTATGAAAACCCAAAAGATGGACTGTTTTATTTTCTATCTGCTTAAAAAAGTTGAGATTTTGACCATGATTCACATTTTTTTGTGTGCGTTTCCTTAGCTGATTTCACATACTTTGGGCAGTAAAGTAACATTTCCACAATTACTAAAAAAAAGAAAAAATGCTCCCCACTGAAAGAAGGTGGAAGGCTGCATTTCACTCACTGTGTATCCCCCAACCCTATTCTTATAATTCACAGCGTATTAAGTAACTCCAAATATACATAGGATAAATGAAAAATTCTCAGAAAGGTTTACAATTATTATCCCAACCATTATATTTGTGTAGAATCAAAGATAAAAACAGCGGCCACTGTGTACTGAGAAACTGCTACACAATGACCATTCTGGATACAGTATATCACTTAGCCTTTATAATAACTTAAAACGGTTAGTATCATCATCCCCATTTTATAGATGAGGAAACTGGGTCTCAGAGAGTTTGTGGCTATCTCATAATCATTGAACTCAAGCTTGTCGGACTCTACTCTCTGCTCTTAAGCTCGGTACCACGACTCCACGTGGGCAGGGAGAGAAAATTTTTAATCATGAAGGAAAAGATCCGCACATTTGAAAACTATAATAGCCAACATTCATTGACCAATTAGTTTGCGAGAGGCAGTACCAAGTGTTTTCCATATATTATCTTCTTGCATTTAACAATCTATGAGGTAGGCAAGAAATAACTATGCAAGGCTAGAAACATTTGAATTTTAGTTGGGATAACCATTGTGGCAGGCCAGAGAGTGGTCACTGCGGTGTCACACAGTCATCTACAAAATACACAATTTCCTATTTGTTTTTTGTAAAGTTATACATCTGGAAAGATCCTTACAGAATCATCCATCATACTGGACCTCTTTAATTCTTTCAAGCAAGATCTATATCAGAGTATATGAAGAAATATGAGAAGTCATTCGAGAGACCATTCCGTCAATACACGTTCTTATGGCCGAAGTCTCCAGTTCAGTGGTTTAGTTTCTTCTTTTAATCTCCCTCACTTCCTCCTGTTCATGAAAATGCCACTGTCCTCATATCTCAGCCCTCTGCAACAATCTTGACTAGCTCTCCTTTACCTAAATGTAAATTCCAAGGGTTAACTGAGCTCCGAAGACCCTTCGGAGTCTGGCCTTCCTTCCTTCCTGCAGCCCGGCTCAGCTCGCTGGTCCTCGAACAGGTGGATGGCCATCTCCCACTCTTGGAATGCTCTCCTTTCACGGCCTCTCTGCCTATGCAAGACTTGTTCATTCTTCAAGGCTCAGCTCAACTCTGGTTGTTTCTGCTGCAGAGCAGAAAGTGAACCAAATAAGGAGACCCGCATTCTAGTTATTCTTATACCTGCCATTTGTTCTCTTGGTAATATTAGCAATACCATTTCTGTTCTTTGAGTTTACATTAATAAAATATACCTCTATAATTTCACTAAAATCTGTCCAACAGACTTCACAGGATATGAGGATTATATGAAGGCTATAAAAGCACTTTGAAAAATGGAAAGTGCTATAATTTATAAGCATTATTACTCCAACAGAAGTGATTTCCCCTCTTCTGAGTTTCTACAATTATTATAACCAATAAATTTTTACATGTATTTTATATCTTATCAACTCAATTACAAGCTCTCTGAAAGTGGAATATTTTATAATATCTATAGTCCCCACAGCACTTTGTACGTAAATATTTTTGACTGATTTATCTGACTCTTCATCCAATGATTAATTAATCCAACTTTCTTAATCTCTTCTAATCTTAATTTTCTTTTTTTTTTTAATTTTTTTTTCAACGTTTTTTATTTATTTTTGGGACAGAGAGAGACAGAGCATGAACGGGGGAGGGGCAGAGAGAGAGGGAGACACAGAATCGGAAACAGGCTCCAGGCTCCGAGCCATCAGCCCAGAGCCTGACGCGGGGCTCGAACTCACGGACCGCGAGATCGTGACCTGGCTGAAGTCGGACGCTTAACCGACTGCGCCACCCAGGCGCCCCTCTAATCTTAATTTTCAATCTTTCAGTTATTCTTCTGGTTTATCCCTAATCCTAATCAAGTTTTGTACTTCGCTGGACAGAAAAATAAAATAAAAATAAATTTGATACTGGGCTTGAAGGCAGTTATCTCATGACTCATCCATTTTTCCCCCTTTAGGAGAATACCTATTCTTGTCCTCCTTGTGTTTCACCACTTCACTGGGGAGAGTGGCCAAGGGGTCTTCAACTTTATCTGCAATGTTATATCTCTGTTAAAGGAGAATATTTTGTATAGTATTTACCTTTCCTGTTGCTAGAGCAGTGGTTCTCAACCTTGGCTGCACATTAGAATCACCTGGGTTGTTTTCAGAAATCCCAGTTCCCAGGCTGTACCCCACCCACATTATAATTGATTACATAATTATAATCAGCATTCTCTGAGGGTGGGAGGAGGCAGAGGGACACTAAGAACTTAAGTAATTCCAGGGGTGCCTCGGTGGCTCTGTCGGTTAAGCATCTGACTCTTGGTTTCAGCTCAGGTCATGATCTCCCGGCTTTGTGGGTTCAAGTCCCGCATCGGGCTCTGTGCCGCCAGCACAGAGCCTGCTTAGGATTCTGTCTCCCTCTCTCTACCCCTTCCTCACTTGTGTTGTCTCTGTCTCTCTCAAAATAAATAAATAAACTTACAAAAAATAACTTAACTAATTCCAGAAATATATCTCCTGGTTATAAAAAAGAAAACTTCCAGAAACCATATTTTAGTACTTTCTATCTAAGCTGATAAGACAACATGTATAACATTTCGTAAAGAGTACAAATTTTGGGGTATCTGGCTGGCTCAACTGGTTGGGTGTCCAACTCTTGGTTTCAGCTCAGGCCATGATTTCATGGTTTGTAAGTTCAAGCCCCAATTCAGGCTCCATGCTAACAGCATGGAGCCTGCTTGGGATTCTCTCTTTCCCTTTCTCTCTCTGCCCCTCCTCTGCTCTGTCAGTCTCTCTCTCAAAAATAAATAAACTTAAAACAAAAATTTTTTTTTAAAGTATAAATTTTAAAGTGGCTCAGCTCCTGGTTCTAAAAATGTGTCAACTGTAGGGGTGCCTGGGTGGCTCAGTCAGTTAAGCACCCGACTTTGGCTCAGATCATGATCTCACAGTTTCTGAGCTCGAGCCTTGCTTCCGGCTCTGTGCTGACAGCTCAGAGCCTGGTGCCTACTTCAGATCCTGTGTCTCCCTCTCTCTCTGCCCCTCCCCTGTTCACGTTCTGTCTCTCTTTCCCTCTCAAAAATAAATAAATAAATAAATAAATAAATAAATAAATAAATAATAAACATTTAAAAATAAAATAAAATTTTTAAAAAAGAAAAAGAAAAAATGAAATAATTTATCAATTGTATAACCCTTGATAATATATTTAATTCTTCAATACCCCAGTCACCTCATAGATAGAACAGGAATAATCATAAACTCTACCTCATAGGGTTGTCTTGAGAATGAAATGCATGTAAAAACACTCAGCACCATATTAGCAGAGAGTAAGCTTATAATAAGTGTAACCTTCTGTCAATGTTATTATTCCAATGATTACAAAACTTTGTTGACCTAGAACATTAAGAAATAGGTGGTCTTGGAAAGGGGAATATTCTAAATAAGAGTTTAACCTTTTAAAAATAAAGTTCTGGGCCTTAATTTTAACACTATTTTATTTATTTATTTATTTATTTTTTTATTTTTTTAACGTTCATTTATTTTTGAGACAGAGAGAGACAGAGCATGAATGGGGGAGGGTCAGAGAGAGAGGGAGACACAGAATCTGAAACAGGCTCCAGGCTCTGAGTTGTCAGCACAGAGCCTGATGCGGGGCTCGAACTCACGGACTGCGAGATCATGACCCGAGCCAAAGTCGGACACCCAACCGACTGAGCCACCCAGGCGCCCCAATTTTAACACTATTTTATTTTATTTTTTTTAATTTTTTTTTTTAACGTTTATTTATATTTGAGACAGAGAGAGACAGAGCATGAACAGGGGAGGGTCAGAGAGAGGGAGACACAGAATCCGAAACAGGCTTCAGGCTCCGAGCTGTCAGCACAGAGCCCGACGCGGGGCTTGAACTCACTGACCGTGAGATCATGACCTGAGCCGAAGTCGGCCGCTCAACCGACTGAGCCACCCAGGCGCCCCAACACTATTTTAAATGTCATTTTGCTTTCATCCTTTTACATTCCATATATATGAAGCCTGTGCCCTCAAGAGTCACAGAAATCTAGGTACCTCGTTCCCACCCACTCCCCAGAGCCACCCTACCTTTTTATCTCTTTGGCCTGACCCAGTTTTCCCCACCAGAGTCACTAATCATTGCACTGTCCTTACTCTAGCCATGGTCTCTCCTCCTACCATTCTCTTTCCTCGGTAACCTCTTCTCAATGGCCATTTCTAGACATTATGCCAATCAGAACGTTCATTTTCTTTTCATAAATGGCCAACAGATAGGTTCAAATATTTCACTCTTCTGGACTGATTTTGTCTCTTCCTCAAATGGCCAAAGACTTTTTGTTCTATTTCTCAAGAGCCAAAGCATCTGGTCTTAGCTTTTGCAATATGAAAATATTCTTTGGGATAAGATCTACCTTGTAATCATCTTTTGAGTAAGATAAAATATAATAACCACAGAGGTCAAGTGACATAAACTTCCCTAACTTTGGACTATCTGAAATATTTTAACGAACAATTTTAAAAGCCTAACCGAGCCTACTATCCATTATTCCTTATCTGTAAATATTTGGAAAGACCTTTGGCTTCTCTTGCAAAGAGGATCCACTTATATCATCCTTACAGAGGAATGTGGTTTCCTTCTTGAACCACCAGCCCTCTTTCTAATCTAAAGTGCCCATCCCCCTCCTAGAGATATATTTCTCATTCCTAGGACAGTTCCATCTCTATATTGAAAACTGGCCAACTCTTCACTTCAAATATCCCTGACTCTTTACACTCTTCCAAAACACCACAGGTTACAATACAATTTCCCATTCCCTATTTTCTTCCTCTGTGCCCTTGCCTGCATTTTAGTAGATCACTGCTGTTACTTAAACTAGATTAAGACACAAGATTAATCCAGCCCCTCAGAACAATATTTGAAAAAAGTCCTTATTTCTAAGCTTGCTTTGCAAATCATTGTAAAGATAAAGAGAACAGAAAGGGTTTTCTTTAGCCCTGAATAAGCAAACCACGTATTAGTTAAAGGTGTATAGAGGTGGTTATTGAATACTTGAGACAGTTTTCTAACAAGTGCCTTTTACCATGACTATTCTATATGTGGAAAATGGGGAGCACTCCAACCTCACAGAGTTGCTATAATCAGCATCACCCTTAGGTCCAGGAATTTTAGAAGGCCCCATGCCTTTAGGGCCCAGCTCTGGCCTTCCTCTGGCTATACCCCTCCCTATGGGACAGGATGTTTATGGGAACAAGACAATCTGTCCATCTAGAGCCCATGCTCCTCAGGCTCCCACCCCAGACTGAAGTTACACTGCAGAATTCCCTAAAAAAGTGGCTTTGAATGCAGTACTAGGGTCTTCATGAGGTCTCTTCCCCAGGTCCATCCTCCCAGGGGTTGACAGTGCTCCAAGCCAATATCTACCACAGGGCCAAAGCAGTTGCCAAGTGATGGCTGTTTGCTGGAAGTAGAGGTAATAGGTATAATGGAGCTTGAACTTGAGGGCCAGGGTACCCTTATATATAAGGCACTTCACCATTTGGGATGGAATTGGGGGTAGGAAGAAAGCAGCAAGTGATGTTGAGGCCAGGGGCCAGCAGCTAGCTCTTTTTGAACCAGTGTCCCCACTGCAGTCTAATAAGTCTAAATTTGAACTTGGTCTTCCAAGTTGTCATGAAGGTATTTTGTCAAGGTAGGAAAATGGAACATATTTATTTAACAGCTTATTTGCTTGATTTATAAATTAAACTATTTAGGAGCACCTGGGTGGCTCAATCAGTTAAGTGGCCAACCCTTGATCTTTGCTCAGGTTATGATCTTGAGGTTCATGGGACTGAGCCTTGCATTGGGCTCCATGCTGGCAGCATGGAGCCTGCTTGGGATTCTCTCTCTCCATCTCTCTCTACCCTCCCTCCTACATGCACACATGTACATGCTCACTCTCTCTCTCTCTCAAAATAAATAAACTTAAAAATAAAATAAAATAAAATAAAATAAAATAAAATAAAATAAAATAAAATAATAAAATAAAATAAAGTAAAATGAAATAAAGTAAAATGAAATAAAGTAAAATGAAATAAAGTAAAATAAAGTAAAGTAAAATAAAATAAAATGAAATGAAATAAAATAAAATAAAATAAAATAAAATGAAATGAAATAAAATAAAATAAAATAAAATAAAATAAAATAAAATAAAATAAAATAAAATAATTTAGGCCAATGGAATGCAGGGTCTCAATATAGCCCCAGGACCTGCAAACGTTAAGGACAGGCTTTGTTCAGGACAAGTGCATAGTGTTCATGAAAGTTAATTCCATACTTTCCACCACCATCCATACCTCTGCTCTTGCTGTTCCTTTGGCCTCCCTATCTCTGCATGTCCTTCAAGGCCTATTTTCTGTGGTATGACATAACATGGCCTCTTGTCTCCTCCATTCTTCTCTGCTCCCCACCTTACTTTCCTGTTCAGTTGGAATCAATCTCTCCCTCCTCAGAACTTACCAATACTTCTTTCTTGACCTCTTTTATAAGTTACTTTTCATCTTAGAGTCATTTATGTTCATTCCTTCTCTCCTCTTCTAGCCAATACATCCCTGGATGACTTGTTTCTGTTCCATCCTTGTTCCCTGCCACTACCTTGCATATATAGGTGCTCAGTAAATATTTACTGAGTACGCTCAATCTGAGAAAAAGGTGAATTTCTAAATACCCAAAGAGACTTCAATGAACCTCATTCATTCATTCACTTTTACGTACACCTCCTTTTGAAAATACAAAATAAACTCCATTGTAAAGTTATATTGATAGAAGGAAAAATTTTATTTGAATTTAAATGACTTAAACTTCATCAGAAATCCATAAAATATATCAAATGGTGCCATTTCTGACAAGGAAAGAGAAGTGGGAGACACACAATTTTGGCTGAATTTAGCCAAAGGAGTACCTCAGAACACTTATCTCTAATAAAATTTTACTGGAGGTAGAGTATTCTCAGGGACATTTCTCCAAGGTATGTTATCAGATAGAGTCCCTGCTAAAGCAAAAAACTCATCATTCATGTGATAAAATACTGTGTTTAACTCTAAATATGGTTAAGTTGCAGAATATTAGTGATTAATGAAGAAAAAAATCATATCTGACTTCAGCCTAGAATTTCCTTTATGCTCCTTCTTGCTAAAATAGTGAATCAGCCCTATTCTACTAGATGGCACTAATAACAATAAACTTTGATGTTCATATTCTAGTTTCCTAAATGTGTTGGAAAGAACAAGCCAGTGTTCTACCCAAAACCTCCTAAAACCTTCGCTCCTAACACTTCTTTAAATTCGTGGGACCCGATTAACTCTCTAAAAGAAGCCAATATACAAAGAAATCTTGAGAGGTCCCACTGGATCACTTCATATGCTCATGATTTTACAGGTATGGGTTTACTTTAATACAAGTAAAAAGAAGAAAATTAGAATATTTGACAAATGCTGTTCCCAGCTTGCATCTTCTAATATTTTCCCCTGTTTCTTAACCTGAATACTAATAGAAATTAGGGTGGGTAGTAAGCTTCTCTTAGCGGGAAACTGGGAGGTACAACTGTTTTCAATTTATTCATTCTAATTATATTACAAAGGGAAATGGGTAAGTTTTTCTATAAAATGTCATTTAAGAGCCATCCTTCATTTACTCTAACAAAGTAGTAAGATGTGATGTTTCCATTAAGGTCTGGGGCCCATGAACCCCCTTGAACTGGATGATTACCATGAAAAGGAGAGAGCAGAGTTAACTGGACAGATAGGATTTGACCCAGAGCCTGTAAGTAATTGCAGTCAACTCGCAGTTACTTAGGGGGAAAGTATCCGAGTGTTAGGGCCCTTCTTGCTTTACCCACTTTTTATTTGCTTCATGAGTACTGGTGACCAAGTTAACAAAAGGAAAATTTTACTCATTATAGAAGTTAGTTTTGAATTGATCTGAACTGCTTTAAATACCTTTGCCCACTATTTCAAAGAACAAGCGAGGTTTCTTTTCCTAGTCCCAGTGCTGGTGTTTTGAGGGTTTGTTTTTTTGTTTTTTTGTTTTAAGTTTATTTATTTTGAGAGAGAGAAAGAGCATGAGAGCGAATGAACAGGGGAGGGACAGAGAGAGAGGAGAGAGAGAGAATCCCAAGCAGGCCTGCAGTGTCAGTGCAACCAATGCAGGCCTCAAACTCATGAACTGTGAGATCATAACCTGAGCCGAAATCAAGAGTTGAGAGGCTTAACCAACTGAGCCATCCAGGCGCCCACTGAAATTGTTTAAAAAACAGATTTTCTACTATGCTACTGTTGCTAAAATTTACAAAGGAATAGGTTTACAAATGCTTACCCTCTAATGAGATTCTTAGTAATTCTATGAATGTTTATATATTCACATTGATTCATTGATATTTACAATTGAGAGTTGGCTAAATTGCAATCGAAAGCCAGTAAATTCTCTGCAAATATCAATACAAATTTCTTAATTGATTATGTGAAATGGCCTGAAAGAAATGATCAAGCCCGTTAGTGACAGAAATTATAGTCTGTTGGATTACTTATATATACATGAAATAAAATAATTTAACAATAGACATATATGCATTTTATCTGGGGCCTAGATTTTATCCTCTAAAGCTACACAGTTTTTAAAACAAAATTAGTATTTCCAAAGATATAAACCGTAGAATTTAGACTGAGCTGAACACATTTATTTTACATTAGCTTTGGTATTTCCCAAGGTGATAAAAAAATCATAACACCTGAAATAGTTATACAGACTGTGCTTTATCATTCACTGAAGGGTTTTTTTACTTTTCACTTGCAACAAATATTCTCTAAGGCTAGAAAGCACTATACATGTATTCCAACATTGTCAAGTGTGTTCATCAGCTATCCAGATTTCCACAGATTTGACCCTGTAGAGTCCAGCCCTTCAGGAAGCAGCTTTATCATTTTTACAAAGAAATACATGTACAGTTATATAAAGAATGTTTGCCAAGTATATTATATGCAAAATTATTGTGCAAGTAAACCATCAACTAAATTTTTATTAATAATAAGATAAAATATGCCTAAAATAAAGTTTAAAAGTTTTAGGGGTGCCTGGGTGGCTCACTTAGTCGGTTGTTTCCAGCTTGGTTTCAGCTCGGGTCACGATCTCACAGTTCATGGGTTCGATCTTCGCATCAGGTTCCAAACTAACAGCACAGAGCCTGTTTGAGATTCCCTCTCCCTGTCTCACTCTCTGTCTCTCTCTCCCCCCATCCACTCTCTGCCCCTCCCCCACTTGTGCACGCATGCATGTTCTCTCTCTCTCAAAATAACTTTAAAAAAATAAATGAAAGTAAGTTTTAGTGCCTCTTTCTGGTTTCTGACTAAGACATGAATAACAGACTCTGGGAAGGCATGTTTTAGTGGTAATAAGTGTATGAAGTATTTTGTTACAGTAGAATGAAATAAAGATACTAAAAACTGCTTCTTGCATAAAGGGGTCCTGTCCAAGGAGGATATGATATACCCCACACTTTTTTGTTCATGACAAATTTAACAAAGTATTTTAAAGAGCTGGGGTTTCTTCTAGTATCTACTGAAACCTAACTAGCTAAAGGTTATAACAGATTTGTTAATAGTAGATGGAAATTCCCCCAACTCTGAGAAAATTAGGATCCAAGAAGACACTCCTAACTCCGTTTCGTTTTCTATATCCAAACTCGAGTTACTGTTTTCTCACCATTCTCATTTTTATTGCCTCTGCTATCAATTCCATTATCACCATCCATCCATTCTGTTAGTTTTTCTTCAACATACTATCTTAAAAATCTTGACAGTTATGGAACGTTGAAATAATTTTACAACTAACATCCATGCACCCGCCACCGAGATTCTACCATCGGCATTTTGCTATACTTATTTTATCACATAATCTATCCATCTTTCCATCTCTTCAGCCACCCATCAATACACTTTATTATGTTTTATGCATTTGAGAGAAATTGCAGACACTAGGATACTTCATCCTTAAACAATCAGCATGCATATCATTAAACAGAGTTCAATCTGTTGCAGCTTTTCTTTTAAGGCAAAATACACATTCAATGAAATTGGCACATATTTTAAAGTGCATGTTCACTGAGTTCTGACAAACGCGTACACCTTTGTAACCCAAACACCTATCAATACATTAAATATTACCATCATTCCAGAAAGTTTCCTCATGCCCCTTTCTAATCAACTCCTCCCTCTTATTCCTATACCCCCACCGACATATATCTATTAGTAAACTTGTAAATACACTACTTTTGCAGTTACCAGACATGATTCATAATATCTGTAAAATATCTCAAAAAGCACAGATAGAAGAAGCCCCCTGCAGACTGCTGTTTAAGCACAGCACATCACTGGTCTCAGCATCACTCAAGATGTTTGTTACAAAAGCAGATTCCTGGAGCACCTAGGTGGCTCAGTCAGTGAAGCGTCCGACTCTTGGTTTCCGCTCAGGTCATGATCTCACAGTTCATGAGTTCAAGCCCCACATCCTGCAGTGTGAAGCCTGCTTAGGATACTCTCTCTCTCCTTTTCTCTCTGCCCCTCACCCTGCTTGTGCTCTCTTGTTCTCTCTCTCTCAATAAATAAATAAACTTAAAAAAAAAAAAAAAAGCAGATTCCTGAGCTCCACTGCAGAATCACAGTCTCTGAATCACAGTCTCAAGTGGATCAAGCTTAGGAATCTCATTTTCTACAGCTCCAAAGCTGATTCTGATTCAACTGAGGTTTAAGAACCCTTGCATTGGAAAGCTTTCACTGAGATTTAAATAACCACACATAACCTTCAACATCATCTGTTGGGGATGGCAGAAATTCTGCTCAAGTGATTCTTTTATATCTTTGAACATTTGAAAGCAAAGAGTTCCTACACAGAGGAATTTTTCCGTAGCCAAGTGAAAACATCCCCTTTCCCTATCAGCAAAAACCAGAAGAGAAAAACATGTGTTTATTAGGACCCAAATGTCAATGTCTGTAAATAAATAAATAAATAAGCAAGCAAACATTGCAATGTGCACTCCTACACCCATTCTACATTTACTCAGTGAAAACGGGTACAAATTTGACCTGCCGTTTGTGGTGATACCCTTATGATGCCAGATTTATTAACTGATTTTCTCCTTTTTATCCCACCACTACAGCAAGAAAAATTCCATCCTGTCTTAAAACCTCCAAGACCCCTAGCAGGACGAATTGCTCGACTGATGCAGAACCGACGGCCTCTGGAGGCTGTTGTCCAGCAGAGACCACACTCCTGTCCAGATTGTACCCCTAGAGTTTTGTGTAATTTTCATACCTTTGTACCCAGTTCTACAGAAATGATGGCACTTAGTGATAACACACTGGCAGGTGTCACCCATAAAAAACAGGAAATTGAAGACAAGATTAAGGAAGAACAAAGTTTGCTATCTACCTATGCATCCCCACCTTGTTACCCAACAAGAGATCTGACTAACGTTTGCGACATAAAAATATCTCCAAAAATCACAGATACTAAGAAGATAAAAGATTTGTACTGGAGACAGCTGGCATTAAAACCCCAACCTATACCTTGCTATAGCCCAAACCATTACATTCAGTATGAGCATCTAAAACCTGCCATACGTGACCCGTGTACTATGTGTCAAAACTCTGTTAGCTTTAGTAAGCCTACTATTTTAGAAAGTAAACCAGACTTGGAAGCTTTTGATTTTGAACATTTTTTAAGTAAGCCAGAAGAAAGGCTGACCTTGAACACAGAAAACAATGAGGAGACAAGACCCATTCTGGGTTGGATTCCTAGAGCTGGAGTGGCCAAGCCTCAGACTGACCTGCTAGGGCTTAAGAACTCTTTTTCAAAAACTGGTGCACAAAAACGTTTCCATAAATCAATTCTAGAAGACCATAAAGACCTCAGGGATAAGGAGCATTCAGGGATGAAACACCAATTCTATGGCTATAATTCCTATTATTTCTATAATTGAGATTTTCATCCTTTCCTTCAAAACCCAGCCTCTTGCAAGAAAAGTAAAAATTTAACAGAATTTCTTCCATGTTGTTGGATTCTGTTTTCTAGAAAAGCCATAATGACCTTGTTATGAAGTTTATGTTTTCAGGAATTTTAAGTTAGGATCTAGTCAGAGGAGCCCATAAAAAGGGGATGTTCTTACTTCCTGAAAAGTTTAACAATTCGGCAATAAAATATTAGAACCAGAAAATTTTATAGTCTTTAATCTCATTTTCAAATTATACTCCAAGGTAATTTTCCAAAATCATGAAAAACAATGTGTATGACAAAGTTTACATCATTGTTTTCCAGAAATGAGTATTTCAAATTCATATGCCCAGTAATTGACAGATGTCTATACAAAATATAGTACCTTAATAAAATAAATATGTGAACATTGTCCCCTTTTGTAAATGTTTGTACAAACTAACATCAAATACAAAAGACAAAATTCAAATGCCCAGTGAAATGAGAGATGGGCAGCTCTATAAACTACATTACCTTAATAAATTAAATATATGGGCCCTTTTTTTTTTACGTAAACGTGGACAAATTAAGTCAGTAGAAAAAACGAAAACCAAAATGCCTTGCATGCACACATTCAAAGTTGGATGTTTCTTTTCCATTAGCCTTCTGATAGAGAAACATAACCAATTTTTTTACGCAGGAAAAAAATTTTATTGTGAAGGTCTAGCAGTGGCTTTAATTAGTAACTGGTGAGTTAATTGTGGCAAGAAAGGAAGGCATCTTAGTCTACTTGGGCTGCTAAAACAAAACACCATAAACTAGGTGGCTTATAAACAACACTTATTACAGTGCTAGAGGCTAGAAGTCTGAGGTTATATAGCACTGGTAGATTTGGTGAATGGGAAGGGTCTGTTTCTTCCCTGCAGCCATCTTCTCACTATAACCTCACATGGTGTAAGGGGCAGGGGATCTCTCCGGGGCCTCCTTTATGAGGGCACTAATCCCATTCATGAGGGCTGTCTTCATGAACTAATCACCTCCTAAAGGTCCCATCCATCTTCTAATAAACCTTAGGCTTTCAACACATGAAATTTGGGGGGACATAAACATGGACACCATAGCAAATGGCTTGATATCAATTATTCTAAAGCCAAATATCATTTTTGGAAGGTGTCTACCAAGAGGCTAGCTAACTGTCAAATGCAAGCCAATTCATTTAATGTGCCAACAGGCACATTTTAGACATTGTTTATCATGAAAGTTCATAAGGAATTTCTATGAGTGTTTCGTTGAGATGTCTTAATTTTTATATTTCATGATCATGTCATTTAATTACACCTCCTTTCAAACTATTCTGGACTAGGGGTGCCTGGGTGGGTCATTTGGTTAAATGTCTGACTCTCTTTTTTTTTTTTTTTTTTTTTTTTTTTACTGTTTGAGAGAAAGAGAGAGCGCGCATGCATGCAAGTGTGCACAGACAGGGGAGGGGAAGAGGGAGAGGGAGAGAAAGAATCCCAAGCAGGCTCCAGCATGGAGCATGGAGCCCAACTCTAGGCTCAATCCCATGACTGTGAGATCATGACCTGAGCTGAAATCAAGAGTCAGATGCCCAACTGACTGAGCCACCCAGGTACCCCTGAACAATGTTCCTTTATATTCAACCACATATTTATCTATTTTGTTGTTCTTTATTTTTTCTCTTCATCTTTGATCTCTTTATCTGTAATCCTTCTCCTTTTGTACAAAGAACACCCTTTAGAATTTCCTTCATTGTGGATATGCTGGTGACAAACTCAGTTTTTGTTTGAAATGTCTTTCTTTCCTAAGAGATATTTTGCCAGATGAAGAATTTAATTTGACAGCTACTTTCTTCCAGTATATTGAAGATATCCGTATACAGTTCCCTGACTTCCACTGTAGCTGTAGAGAACTCAGTGGTCAGTCTAAGAGTTCTTAGAATGTCAGTGTTTTTCTCATTTTGCTTTTACACTGTTATTGTATTTCTTTTCTTCTTACTGTATTAGTAATCCCTGAAATTCTTGAACTATGGATTGATATCTTTCACTCAAATATAGTTTCTACCCCATTTTCTCTTCTCTCCTTCTGGGACTCCACTTAAAAGTACATTATACAGGGGCACCTGGGTGGCTCAGTCAGTTAAACGTCTGACTTCACCTCAGGTCATGGTTCATGGGTTCAAGCCCTGTGTTTGGCTCTGTGCTGACAGCTCAAAGCCTGGAGCCTGCTTCAGATTCTGTGTCTCCCTCTCTGTCTGCCACTTCCCTGCTCCTGTTCTATCTCACTCTCAAAATAAATATTAAAATTCTTTTTAAACAGTACATTATATGTTATCTTGGTATCTTCTTCATTTTGATTATTTTTCAGTTCTAAAGTTTCTATTTGACAGGTTGTTCAAATCTGCCATTTTATTTTATATATATACTTTCCAGTTCCCTTCTAAAATATTCAAGCCTGGCTTTTATGTTTAGAACACAAATATTTTACAGTCTGATAATTTTAAAATCTGGAATCCCTATGACCTTGTTCTTGCTTCTGCTAGTTCTCACTCATATCATGGAGTTAAAAATTATCTTTCTTTCTTTGCCGAACACTTTAAAAACTTTATTTGTAAGGGTGCCTAGGTGGCTCAGCCAGTTAAGCTTCTGACTCTTGGTTTCAGCTCAGGTCATGATCTCACAGTTCGTACATTCAAGCCCCACATCAGCCTCTGGAGAGCCTGCTTGGGATTCTCTCTCTGCCCTCTCCTCTCTCTCTCCCTCCCCTCCCTCTCTCTCAAAAATAAACATACATCAAAAATAAATAATTTGAGATTTAGGGTGACATTATAATCTTCCTGAATTTTCATTTGGTTCTGCCAGGTGCCTGAAGGCAACAGAATTCCTTATTCCAACTTCAAAATTTGAGGTATCCTTGGCCAACCACTAAAGTCGGGCTGCAGACCTTGTAGGATCAGTGTTTCTTCCAGTTCACCTTCATTTCCAGGCTTCAGGCCTTTGAAATGCTGACCTACAGCTAGGGTTGTTTACCAGGTACCAGGTTCGACAACCTCTGCAAGCCCTGAATTGATACTGTAGATATCAATTTTTTTTTTTTTTTTTGAGAGAGAGAGAGAGAGAGAGTGCATGCAGGAGCAGGGAAGGGGCAGAGGGAAAGGGAAATAGAGAACCTTAGGCAGGCTCCATGCCCAGTACATAGCCCTACACAGGGCTCCATCTCACAACTGTGAGATCATGACCTAAGCCAAAACCAAGAGTTGGACACTTAACCAACGGAGCCACCCAGATGCCCCAAGATACATACATTTTCTATATACAGATACAGATAGCGATATATCTAACAATAGTGTGTCCAATGATCCCTGCAGCCTAGTATTTACACCCTTTTGAAGGCTCCTTTTACATTGTACCACAATCAATGACCAATAAAACAAGTATGTCACTTCTAAGATTTACAAAAGGTTATAAAGGACTGGCATCTATCTTAGCTTCTCTATCTCAGTTTCTGGGAAGCAAGCTTCCATGGGGTAAGCGGTCCCATCCATAGGCCTCTACCCAAGAGCCAACAAGGAACTGAGGTCTGACAACCATATGAAATGAATTGGAATTGAATTCTCCAGCCCTATTTGAGCCCTCAGATAACTGTATCTCTGTTCAACAGTGTGACTACAAATTCAAACTCTGAGCCATAGCCAAAACCCAAATAAGCTGCTTCCAGAGAAGCTGTAAGATAATAAATGTTTTGCTTATCATATTGTATGTAGTTTATTTCAATGACTATTATTTTTATTTCTACAAATCAGCTTTGGCTCTTTTTAAAATCGGCCTGGTTGTTTTGGATAGTCTCTTATTCATTGCAAATGCTTTTGTTCCCTGCTTTTGTCTAAATATTTTAAATGTCATTTCATATTACACATTGTAAAGGTAAATAAAAATTATTTTCTGTTTTTAAAAGAAAATAAGACCATTTCTCTTCTTTCCCCCTTCTAGGAGTGTTTCCTATGAAAATCTAAAGGGCCAGAGTCCTCATTCTAGCCTTTAAGAGCATAAAAGAGTCTCTCAGAGGTCTGGGTTTTATGCTTTTTGGTAGGTAAACATGAAGGAAGGTAGAGCATCACCTTGAAGCTTAATGTAAGTGTAACTATTTGATTCTCAGGAAAATAAGTTTTATTATTCTTTTGGATGAGGACAACTAATTAAATAAATGGCTACCCCAATTCCTGAGTGAACTTAAGGTAAAAGAATGTGAAAAAAAACCCTCAACCAAGAAGGATCTGATCACAAACTGTGATAAGTTCTCCTATGGAAAAAGGGTCACCATTAATACAAATAATAAACAATAATTGTGCTGCCCAAAGGGAAATAGGCTACTATTGATCCTAAAGCCTCATGTTCTATGCTAGCTAAAAACAGCATGGTATAAAAGGATTATAATTAATTTAGCTTAATTGTGTGAGATTTTATTCTGATTTGGTAGTTTCTTGTGGACTACATACGTACAACCACTTTATTGTGTTTACTCAACAGTGAACGAGTTTTCTTTCCTCATACAGTGATGTGAGGAGATATCTTTCTCAGTAAGATTTTTACTTCCCCAGTGACATCTAATAGTTCCAACACCTATGGTCATCTGTGGTGTAACTTTGCTCTTTGTTGTTTTTTCATAATGATCTCATGCTTGGCACTTCTTAAGAGTACGGAATCCTGAGGGCCTGGGTTAAAATATTCCTCTGCATATTTATGTTTTCTTCTGTGAGACACCAGAACATACTGCTCATCCACGACTACTGTATTAATTTTTCAGCAAGAGTTTCTCAGACCATGCAGGTAGAGTAAAATCAAACCCGCATGAGGGCTGACCCGTGGTTATGAATGCACAGAGGATACTTCTTCTTCTCACTCAGTACTTAAGGCCAAGCCGGACAAGACTAACCTGGTTCTTCCCTTTTCCAGGGAGATTGTATTTTATCCTTTAGGTTCAAGTGTTTCAGCATTATGCAGGGGTCTCAGCCAACCTTAGCTCTCCATCCCCCCTACTGTCACATTTTATGAGCTTT